ATGCTATTGTCGACTGTTTTTTGTGATTTCATTGAAATTTCCATGTTGTAATATGTTCAAATTAGGTTTTGCGCGTTTTTGCGTTTGAAAACATCTTTTGCGTTTGTGTAGAGATTTGGGTTACATCGAACACTCTATTTTAAACCACAACACACGACAGGGCGCGGCCATTTTTGACTGACTAAAAAACCTGGATCGGAAGACCAGGTGACACCCAAATTCCACTTAAGAAGGCAATATGCAAAATTAAATAAAGGAAAGGTCAAGCTATAATAAAATACAGGTTAAAAGGATAAGAAGTAAATAAATAAAACAATAATTACAATAGAATGGATGGAAGTACCACACATGCGCTGGCTAACACAAATGACATTGAATGAAAACCATCATAAACAGCATAACACGCCCCTTCTGTCCCTCTCGCCCTCTCCCTCTCCCTCTCCCTCTCTCCGTGTCTCTCTGTTTTTGCCTCGTTCTCTCCGTCGTCTCTCTCACTCTCTGAGACACCCTGAGAACTGTTGCTTGGCCGCAGAGCACGTACAAGGTTCAGCATAATTAGTCATTGAACGTTACATGCGAACGTTACACTCGCACCTTCCGACAACGTTATGTAGTAACGTTTTAACAACGCTATTACGACGTTGGATACCTATATGGTATTATACATGTTTCTCTATTATCAATTCACATGTATAGTTATGGAATTTACTATATCATATGTGAACTTATAACCTTAAGTAATTACGTCATGCTATTTAAATGTCATTATCCTTATTTGTCTTAGATATTGTGTAGGGAATTATGGTAACAGTTGTTTTGGACGTTGTACAAAATAGTGGACGTGAAAGTGTCAAGGACGTGGCTTGTCACACACAGGGAAGAGGCGCAGTAGTAAAGCAAACAACGCCTGATGAGCAAGCATTGGAGTTCATGTGGCACGGCTAGTGTCCGATATAAGAAGAATATGTCAATGTTTCTACTGAAACTTGAATTGATGTGCTTAGTTTAGTTTCAAGGTGAACAAATATGAACGTTTTACATGTACTAATGCACTCATTCACCGAAATATGGCACTCTCATTCGAAATCGAATATTTCTGGAAGGAATTCCAGCCACCGTCCGCAATGTTCTGCTGCATAATTCCTACAGGAGTTACAATAGATAGTAATGAAGATGTCCTGAAACATTGTTGTTTATAAGTTATAAAAGCTAGTTGCTGCTGTTGGGTTCACCCGAACTATGCCAAAGGTGAGGTTATGAGGTTATGAATTTAAGTTATGTGTGTCGTCTTGACTAGAAATGTTAAAGGGACTACGTCACGAATTTTCTATAGTAAAATTTGTAAAAAAAAATTGCCATTTTTTTTACATTAAAAGTAAGAACTAACGTTACTAAATATATCCTCAAACTCTCACCTGATAAAAATGTTTTTACGTTGGTTAAATTTGCAAAAAT